TAACGAAACAAAACAGATACCTGCGGGTTCCTCGACGCACAGGCGGCCGCGGTACCTTCACAGATCGGGCAAGTATCTTTTTTGTCCCAGTCTTGGCGCTCGTCTGTTCTGACCCTCAACCAACGAACGGCAACGGACCCCAGCGGCTAAGGTAAGGCAGGGCCACAATGTATCGACGGATAGATTTCATCTCAAAGACAAAATAACCACAGACATTTTGCATTTGGCCCTCCGTCCCGGCCCCATTGTCTCGCACAGACAGAAACAGAGAGAGAGAGAGAGAGAGAGAGAGAGAGAGAGAGAGAGGGAAAGAGAGCCCGGGTGGGGAGACGGACACGCAACCGCAACTGCAGTCACAACCGCAGCCGCTGTTGGTGGTGCAGGAGCAAGTTGCCATTTGCCAGTTGCAGCTCCAAGATGGCAATATCTGCAAAATGCAAATCGTCAGGCCCTTTGGCCAAGTCGAAACGCGCAATCCCCTCTCCACCGGCAATCACATCTCAGCTTTTTCTTCTTCCCCTCGTTCTCGCCGACATAACTTGGACCTCGCATCATCACATCATGTCATCTTGTGCGGTGCGCCTACATACCTACCTTATCCTCTTTGTAGCTACTTGCCCGCTGCGGCGCTGCAACTGCAAAACCAGTCCCTTTCTCTCTTCCCCTCCTCTCGCCCTCCCCTCTCTCCACTTTCATTGTGCATATCCCCGTTTGGGTCAGCGACTCGGACCAGGACTGAAGCCAAGACGACATGGGCTTTCCTCAATGTGACCCTCCCCTACGAGCCAGTGCGCTTATCCGCTTCTCGTCGGACCTGCGTCTGCACCACCCATGCGAGCCAGGGTTGCCAGGGTCATCGCTTCTTTTTCTTTTTGTCAAAGAACAGAAGGGGGGGGGTGGACAAACTGGCCAATCAGCGAAGCCATGACATTTTCAATCCTCATCGTCTGTCTCTTTCTCTCTCTCGCTCTCAAAAGTAACATCAATCTATCTACACCATGTTCCGCTCCTGCTGTACTGTGTGAACACACCACTTATCCTTGCCGGGGACTACGATATACCACAAGGCTACGGATAGACACGTCGGTTTCCGCAACTAGGACCAAGCATCAGTGCACATCACGGCCATCCTCCGCCGCCGCTAACTCGGTCTTTGAACCTTTCAAGCATCCAGAGGAACCATCACTCTCGCCGCTCCCACGCTAAATTCCTCTTAGCAGAAGGGAGGCTCTGCTCCGTTCGAGCCCACGGGATTTGGACCGCCCGTCGCAATATACCTACCTTACGATATGGCAAACTCGAAAAGTACACGATACTACATAATTGAGCTGCGGCAGACTCGAGCAAGGGTGAGCAGCAAAGCTCTGCATTTACGACGGTACCATGTTACTGGCCCTGGCTGGTCGGTCGTCAAAGCCTAAAACAGAAATGTCGCCAACTCAACCAACGATCCCGACTGAGCACACCTTGCCTCACCTCATCTCACCTTGACAGTATCTCTGTGCCTCAATACCACTCGAAGCTGTTCCGCATCAGGAAGCCACATTCCGAAAGTCACCTCTCCAGGGGCGCCACTATTACCTGAGCATGAATCGCCATTGTCATACGGGTCATGAGCTTCAAGTTCATCGCAGTGCCGCAGTCAGCACAGATACGGATTATGCGAACGGGGTACGGATCCGTACGGGCATCTTGGGGACAAAAAAACCCTAGCCCTGACCCTCGTCACGATCCTCCGCGCTCCCAGAGTATAGAGGCTGATCATGGCCGAAGCTCGGCGGAGTCGATCTAGCCAAGTGGGTCAGCGTCGTCTTCGCGCCGCCCGTCTATCCCGTCTTGCCGACACGTAGACGGAGACTTTCGGATACTATAACAAAGTACGGGCGTGCTTATAAGTGCCCAACAAGTCATCATTTCTGAGAAACTATAGGCTCTCTTGCTACAGATACACTCCATGCGGCCAGGACATCGAATGACACGGGAATAAAGGCGGCATCGTTGAGAAAGGATTTGTGCCCCGGCTTCGTTGCTAGGCCCCGTCCTGTGACACTGGATCTGCGGCTGCGCAACCATGGTTGACATCAACATGCATCGCAATCGTTCATGCTCGCAGCCCGAGATCCGCCGGGGAAGCACCTCGTGCGATCCAGGCCGCGTCTCGCGCCTGTAGTGCACAGCACTATACCACACCTGCCTGTCAGCAATCTGCTCTCCGCAAACTTTGTCCGTCGCAAGCCCGGATGGACAGGCTCACGATCTTCCCGCCCTCGCGTCGATTTGAGAGGCCTGGTTCGGAGGAGGGGGTGGATGGAGGCTTGCTGGTGGGTTTCGTTGACTTTCGACTCCGTGCCTAGTCAACCCCGCAAGATAGCATCATTCCATCACGACATCGACCGGGCCAGCTCTTCTTCAGCGACCAGGGGGGGTTCCTACACTAGGACAGAACCCATGTAATCGTCCAGTGTCCACCGCGGACTTATGGAGAACATAAGCCACGTCAACCAAGAACATTAGAGAATTGGCAGAGCTCCGTCTCGAAAATATCCCGGCCCAGGAGGGGGAACCCACTCGCGCTTCTTGGTTCGCTGTAACCTCAGCGCCCACTATCATGCAGGTTCAAGAGGCTCGGAACCAACAATGGCAGAGGCAATCCGACCATCAAGAGGTCATCAGCAATCCCTCGATCCACACAAGCGATCTTCGGTCTTTGCGAGCCGTTGAAGAATTTCATGTCGCCGCAAGGGTCCTATGCCAGTTGCACGATGCCATATCAAATTACAATGGCGAGATCGTCCGATCTTGTCCAATGAGCTTTACTATTGCTGCTAGGTCTGTCCGGGCAACAGAGAGCGCAATGCGACAACGAGTCTTCGCACAAAACGCAAAAGTGATGAGCCTCCTCATTGGGAAAAGCGATATCACGTACGAAAGAAGTCAAAGCCGAAAGAAGTGCGCCAAGCGGCGCTGCTGGTGGACGTCTTGGCCCGTTGGTTCAGCCTATTCGAGCATCTTGGCCACTAGCTGCAGAAAAAGGCGCCATGGATATCCACACGCTATATTCATACGCTCACGACGAAGAAGAGGAGGACCCGTTGACGGAGGGTATGCCCAGGACCGATGCCACCAATGAACAGGCCTACGAGACCAGCCTCTTCGAGGTACAAGCGCGGTACTGGGCATGTACCCTTCCTGGCCTATTCCAGGGAATGCCCCAGAAATCACCAGGCAGTGTCGATAGATTCGACACCAAGATTCCTGCATCCCTCGAGCGTGCGACAGCTTGAAGCCGATCCCCACCAGTTAATCGGCTACAAGCTACTGCTGCTTCGGTGCAGAAATTGTTGAGTTGGTCATCAATTTACTAACCTTATCAAAACCAGCAAATGGCCAGAAATCAGAGACAGCAATCGACACAGTCTGTCCCTGGAAGCTGAATATTGCATTTCATTCCACTTCTAGAAGCATGCCGTCACCTTTGCTTTCCGGCCCCCACGCAAAACCACACCAATTGAGTTGGTTCACGGTTATTTCCCTCTCGACGGGAGCCTCAATACAAGAGACTGGTCATGAACCGGAGACCCATGCCGAGCCCGCACACCCATTCTACAACCATATCCACAATTGATATTTCATTGTAACATCTGCTGGCAAATGGGGGCCGAATGGTTTTGAGCCCGTTTCGCCAGCGACTCAATCTACAACTCCAGATAGTGCTTGAGCATAACGGACAGTGTTATCGCAAGAACTAGAATGATTGTCAGAATTGTAGCCATTGTCGCCATGTTCTCAACGCGGTCCGAGCGAGCCATAATCCCGACCGGCGCAGGTTTTCCATCGCGGCTGCGGCGTCCGCCGCTTATTTTTATTTCTTTTACCATGAGGGGTTAACTGAAGCCAAACAAATGGGTCATGAACAGGAACTCTGTCAATTTTGCACTGCCAGGGAACGGGGATGGGGATTATTGAAACAAACACACCCTGGAGGGGCCACACGACTGGCGTTAGGACCGGCCGAGGCCTGGCCGAGCTGGGCGGAATCGACGTCGTTATGCTGAAGAATCGACCAAAACGAAGAACAGGCTGTCCGACTGACAGGACCCTGCGAGTGCGTCCGAGTGGATGGAGCCACGCCCCAGCGTCTCAACAAGCCCCCAAGCTCTCGGCGTGAACCTATCATCCGATGAGAACGCGCGCGTATCACACAGACACACACAACCCCTCCCCCACCACCTCCGAGGGAGTGGAGTGCTGAGGTTGGTGGTTGTCGAACCTCGAATGATGGGGTCTCTCTTGCTTTGCTGCTGTCTCCAGACAACGAAGAAGAGGGTGCGTGGCTGTACGTTGGGAGCTTGCAAACAGAAGCCAGATTGTCAAGCAAGGCCCGGGCGTACATGATGCAGGATTTCTTGCATCAAAGGCTCTAGGGACCTCCGAGTGTCCACCCGCTGCGGGACAATAGCCAAACTTAGTGAGATGGATGGCCTGACAGTGTGGAGAGCAATAACGGAGGCGCATGTGCCTCTGCTCTCGTACCCGTTGGCACGAAAGTCAAGGCAACGAGCGAAGTTTCGCGGAATATCGTGAGCTCGATACAGTTCTTGGCGAACATCTCAAACAAGAGCCGAGATAAGGCGACAAGAGACCGTGTCTCGTGGCTCGTATTTGGAGTCACATGCTGACGGCCTTACGACCTGATATGACCATCGTGGACGACACAATGGAAAGGCTCAACACCATTTTACTTGTGACCATTGGTCGCCACGGAGCAGAGAACAGCGCAGAAACTGGAATGCCGGTAGATACGCGATGCAACAATGGGCCCACGATCTGGCCGCCGCATTAAATAGGTACTGCTACATGACGAAGCGCCTTTGATGGGAGAAGAAGCCTATCTTTCTCAGGACACTCGCTGGCCACGGTGTTGCCTATTCGGTACGTTGGTCGAAGCGGCAGACAGATGTAAAATGGGACACCTTCGTTTTCCAACGGTGCCATGGGGGCTAAGGCGATGTGGCATATGCATGTCTTCGATGAGGCAGCCGCGCTTGTGTAGGCGATGCGACCGAAGCGACTGAAGGAAGACACACAGGCATTTGGCCAGATTTGTCCAGCATCAAGAGCATTCTGACATGTGCGTTGGTTACATGGGACTGAGAGGGAGAGAGATAGAGTTTTCGCGATGGACGAATTGGGAATCGAGGCCGAGTGCGATTGGGAAGTTGGATGGCGGTTGCAACGGGGGTCCTCATCCCCCGCGGGGAAGCGATCTGGCTGGTGGTGATGGGGCTGGAACGTGGGGAACGATCGTCTTCTGGTGAGTGTCTGTGGGATTTGAGCCGCTGTCGATCTCTCACATGCTTTCTTTTTCTGATCTTTTTTTTCTTCTTTTTTCACTCTTTTTCTCTTTTATGGCCTTCTTCACTATCCCGAGGAAATCGGCAAGGCGTTCTCGCATGATTTACATTTCCACCTGCCCGCCGAATTTCCTTCCCAAAGCCGAACTGAGTGGCTTTTGAAGAAGCAGGCCAAGGCGGCCAAGTGGAGATTTTTAAGTCGAGGACCACGCGAGCTCGAGTGAGTCCAGGCGTATAGCGTGCCAATCAATGGCTTTGAAGCGGTTTTCCCCTTCAACTATTTGGCTTCGTGGCTGCCTTCGGGCTGCAGAAGACCCGAGATTATGGATCAATCGCTTCGTCGCTGCTTCCGTCCTTGTGTGCCAAAAGCTGGGACCGGGTCGGAAAAGATGGCTGCATTGCTGCGGTTGAAAAAGTCGGAAGAGGAAGAAGGAAAATGTCTCAAGGAGACTAGACATACGGCGCGGGGATACTAAGAGGTTTAAAGCATGTGAAGCTTTCGGGGGAACACTGTAGCGAGGCCTCCTCAGTTCAACAGAAAAGTAAGGTAAGGTCAAGGTTATTCAACGGGCCGCCACTCCTTTTGACTTACCTGAGCTCGGCATTAGCGTCGTCGCTGGACCTTTGGCTCTGCGGGTGCAGGTTTCGGTGGCTTTTTTTGTCTTTTCAGCTTTTTTTTTCTCATACCGTTCCCTGGGGTCTTTTTGGAGAGCTCTCTTTCCTTCTGGGTCCTTTCGGCGTCATTACCGCCGTTTTGACCTGTGGCATGGCCAGCGAGTATACGTGAGCCCTGCAGAATATCAGCATCACCACATGCCTCGACCCAGCCACAAACGACGATATTGGGGAATGTGGTAGGTATGGATGAGGGGGACGAACCAAGTGACCCTGCGCCCTTGCCTGCCGCATACCAGGGCCCGCATCGTTGGACGATTTTGACGCCTGACGCTTTGCTTTTCTGCTGAGGGGGGTTGGGATGTGCCTGGGCTTGGAGATCGGATGTGTAAGGTTTTGGAGGGGCAAACGCGAGAGATGTCGGCAGATCCAGCCAGTTGAGTGCGGTCGAGGAACACCGGTCTGGATTAGTGTTTGTAGGTACCCTCTCCGAGACGACGGGCCGTTGGGGGCTTGGCTTTTGGTGATGAACTTTGGAAGTAGGTAAGAGCGAAAGGTTTAATGTTTTTGGATGGGTGAGAGGCAGGACCCGGCAAGTCGATGGTCATGGTGATGAGGTTGTTGATAAGTTTGGTGTTCATTGAACAGAAGGAATGCCTTGTATGACATTTACCTTATGGTAGGCGCCAGACTTCTGCGTGACTTGACTTTTGAGATCGTGGTCTTCGGCATGAGTTCCGGTTTCTTAGTTATCAGGAATCTCAAGTCAGTAACCTGTAAGCTGTAAAGATATAGAAGGTATAGTCTTCTTCAGTAGCCTCGAGGTGATTATTTCTAGCGGGAGAGTTCGTAGGATTCATCAACATTCTGATACAGGAGACGTGATCCATTTTGGCAACGTTTAAAGTGGTCGGGAAGATGTCCTGACACTTGCAGGGATGTTCACAGTTTCTCAGTTTAAGTACGTGGCAACCGATGCAGTCACACGAATACATGGAGGTAAGGTATGTAGGAGTGTGATTGCTACCTAAACACCATACGGCAGGCCCTTTTCGTCTCATCCACACAAAGTCAACTTTCTTCCGTGCAGCCTTTTTACCCGACAACGGTTGTCGAGAATGGTCTGCCGCCGCGTTCCGAGATCCCTCTCCTGAATTCATGTTTGAGACTGGAATGTATATACCAGCAGCTTCATCGCCGTCCATGCTGTTGTTGGCGGGTAGACGAGTACGTAGATGCCAAGTACCAGCCGATGGAGCCCGGCATTGGGGCTTGATCCCGGGTATTTCCTAGTGATAGTGGACAGTCCCCTTCTTACTGGATGAATTTGCGATTTTGACCAAGGTAGTAGGGTCAGTGGAAGCAGGTGCCTTGCGCGTTTGGTTCTCTGTGTGTAGTACTTGATATCTCGGGATCTTGAAGGGCATCGATTCCGCATATTTAGGTGCTTTCCCGGGAAGAGCCTTACAGCGGATGGCTGGTGGGACGCTGAATGTTGTTGATGTCTTCGGCACTGCACTTATGAGATCCGAACTGTTGTTGTTCTTGTGTTTCGTTTGATATCGAGCCATTCACGCAGGGTCGGTGACTCAAGAAGGAGGAGGTTCTTGGGAGACTTATTAGAGAGGGGCGTAGGTAGAGAACCTTCCAAACGAGAAAGAGGGGACAAGTTGGGGGCTGTATATCTGCTGAAATGGTGCCGATTGAAAAGTGTTGAGATTGTTACTCGAGATATGTGCGTATATCGCGGAGAGCATGAGGAGGGGCGGTGAGATGGCATAAGTGTTTTGTCATCCTAGCTGAGTATTTGGCCCTCTTCTGAAAAGGGGCATTCTGAACTATCGGCTTCCATGAGTTTTCCGACTCTCAGAGGCTGAATTGTTTACAGTCCTTGGGAAACCTGAATTTTCGGTCTGCGAAGAACTGATTTAAGCCAGAGAGTGGTGAGAGATGTGGCTCTCGAACCGTCTATTTCGAGCGGTCTCAACTTGTTCGTCCACTAGCCTATGGCATGGACTTAGCATGTGTCCTCTTCCTCTGACTGGATTGAAAACTCGGGTCTGGCGATCCAGGATACCACGGCGTTGTCGCCGACGTCTCTTATGTTGAGTCTTGTCTGAGTTCTTGGTTAACCACTGGTTATCGCCGATTGTTAGACATGATTCTGACTGTGCTCCTTTTCTGCAAAGTATTGCCCAATTGACTTACCCTTACATGACATGTGTACCAAAAGATTTCCCGCTTTTAGGCTCTGGGACGTTATCAGCCACATGAGGCTTCTCTCTCGCGATATCAACCTGATTCCCTCCTTGTCAGGAGTCAGATGAGAAAGTGCGAAATATTTGTTAAGACCCAGTGAAGCTACGTGAATGAACTGACTAGTTCACATTAACGAGGCGAAATCTACTGAAACTGGTCTCTAAAGTAGGGTTGATGTGGTTAATTACTGTGAGGCATGATCAACTTTGATGCCAGAGAAAAGGGAGCTCGGCAGTGAAATACCTTGAGAACAGTGTCTGAGAATAACTGTGAGGATCGTGTGTTCTTCGTATTCTCAAGGTCAGGACGGCGGTCCCATCTATCAAGCTATTCCGGTATTTTTCTTTTGAGAATCAAGTTAAATGGGCGGAACTTTCCTTGCGATGATGTCAAATTCGGTCGTCTGTTTTGGGAAGATGGCGCTGATTCCTACCATTGGAAATCGAATTTGCTCCATCTCCTGCGTCTGCGAAATGGTTTTCTCTTCCATCATTCGATTGCCTGTGCGACGCCAGTTTCCAAGCGGTTATAGTGAAACTCGTAATGCTGCTGGAACAGCCCACAAGAGATCACATGGTCTTGCCCGTCGTATGCGGGTGAGATGAGACCAAGAGCTCATCTATCTTACAGTCAAATCAGCAAGCAATTTTGATCGAGGGTCATTCGACACATTAATCGGACTATTGATCTTGCTCGATCATGGTAGCCTACAATTCGTAAGTCTTGGGTGTATATCTACTACCGTTCCCACGACTAGCTTTCCCGTTGTCCATAAGATGACAAATGAAAGCATCATGCTCTACAAAAGCTCTTGGGGAGTTGCTTCCGGGCTGAACGATACATGAACGGTGTTCAAAGCACAATAAACAGGAAGAGGCTCCTGCTGTGCCAATGTTTGTATGACTACAAGTTTCAATTGTAATGGGCAAGGAGTAGACGACTAAATTGTGATATTACAATGAGCATAAAAGCTCTGCTGAAGTTCTTATTCTTGGACCTTCAACTTGAGAGAAGTACCCGTTGCGCACCAAGTCGAAAGTCCTCATTTCTTCACTTAAGCCGGTGGAAGAGGGTCTCCAAGCCGGTTCCGGGCACGGAGGTGGGAGTGGCCAAACCCGGAACCGGTCCCCATCTGTCCGTCCCCGCTGTCCGCCCCATCCCTTTCTGCCGTTCACATCGACCCCGCAACGGCACTGGTACCGAGTAACCGAAAACGCGGCCCGAAACCCACCAGCGGAACTTCCGAAACCTTTCTTGCCCCGCCGTTCCTCCGAAAGAAAGACTTACCATATCCGGACATCGTCAGTGGTGGCTCATCGGACACGTGAGTACAACTGTTCTTGCCACTTTGGTAAGGTTTTGCAACCACGAGGTGGCCCAGACAACCAGAGACAAGACAGAGAAACAAAAGGACCCCGAGGAGGATCTAAGGAAAAGAAAACAAGGATTTGGGGGGGGGGGGGGGGGGGGAAGGAAAAAAAAAAAAATTGTCTATATGTGAGAAAAAAAAGAGAAAAAACAAAGAAGGGGCGAAGGCAAGAAACAAAAAAAAGAGAAAGGGGGGGGGGGGGGGGGGGGGGGGAGAGGATGGAAAACGAAAACATTGTCTGATATGCTGAAAACAGACAGGATGCCTTCAGCACACCACGTCATCGAAAGGCCCGAATAGTGAGATACGCGCACATCCACGCACCCACATACACACGCGCACTTGCCGAGAAGTCGGACGGTTACACAAGGCCCGAGTGGGGGAGTTCTCGGGTGACGAGAAGCCAGTGATGGAGAGTAGTTATAAGCGCACAAGAAAAGAAGGGTGGTTGCTACCCTTCTGCTTCGGTATTTCTCCGTGTGGTGGAAAGACATTTTTTTTCTTGGGAGTAAAAAAAGCCTTGCCGCCTTTGTCCTACCAACATACTTCTGCACACAGGATATCTGGGGACCCATGGGAGAGGAGAGGGCTTGCCGCTTGAGTTTTGAGGCTTGAGGCGTAAGGCTTGGAGGGGAATTCGGAAGCGACAACTGCCGTAACCTCCCATTTCGTGGCCGTGCTACCATAGTTTATTCCAAAGCTTTGCCTGCCGGGCACCACCCGGGCTGAAAGCCCGCAAGGCCAAGAAAGTTGAGGCATGTTGATGCCACTCTGTCACTGAACCCGAGGATTCTCCGTCTGACAGCTTTTCCCATCCCGTCAAAGGCGACGATTCTACCGGTAGTGGACAGGATAGACAACAACTAACCGGACATTTTGATGAACCAAGCTTGCCAAGGTCCCGAAAAAAATGAACGAGATTACGCCGCGCGATCTGAGTCCAAGATCGACACCACGCTTCAAGGAAAACTTTGGCAAGAGTAGCCGGCCTCAGCGCTTGGTTTGGATGGGTATACGCGTACCCACGGGTGGAAGGGGGAGGGGGAGTGTGTATAAAAACAAAACAAGAAACCCTAGGAAATATCAAAGACTGAGATTTTCTTCAGAGTGATCAAATAAGATCGGAGACAACCAACGAGAACAAAAAAATACCGACAGGGTTATTGCGATACTAACAAACACGAGGTGGAGGATGGGGAGGCGAAGACATGAAAACGTCGTCCTTCTCGGCCGGTACCAAACTCGTTGTCAACGTCGGTCTCAGCAACCCCACCACCCTCACGAAGCAGACTCCGGCTGACAAGGGTTGATCACCACCATAAAATCCCTTTCGCAGCGATGTCCAGGAGCGTCATGTGTATAGCCGTCAAAGAGACGGAGATGCGGGAAGATTTTCAACAAGTTCCTTCCGTGCTGCCCCCCCCCCCCCTTCGTGGGCGTTCTCCATCGTATGTTGAGGTGGGTTCCACACCGAACCCCAACCCCACGTTTGCGGACGTAAGGATGCTTTGCCCTAAACAAGGTAACTCTTCCCTTGTGCCTGTCTCGGCGGGACGCGGAATGAAGAGCGGATAGGGCGGTCGTTGACAAAGTTGTGGCTGTTCTGTCAAACTCGTGGCCTGGAGAGATTGAGTTTTTTTTTTGTCAGGAATGCAATCAGTTTCTTTTCGAGGCGCGCGGGTCACGAGGTTTGCAGCGCGCAGACAGAATCTTCGTAATCACTTAGGTTGGAAAACACGAATTGTAATATGCCATTGATAATCATGGACAGTAAATCTGTTCTCTTTGCATTGTAAAGGGAAATCATTAAACTACATAAGTCATGACGAGGGCAAAGAGCTAAAGTTGTATAGCGAACAAGATGTCCTCCGAGAGCAGAGGACAAAGGAGTGTTGAAGAACAGAAGAACAACAAGGCAAACGGCCCGCAGCGATCGCTAACCCCCCTAATAAAGCGTGTGATCATGGAATGAGCAAGGCATACAGAGTGCTGCATTCGTCGAGAAAAGGCGTCCAAGTGGGAGAGAAGAAAGAAATAAGAGTCATAAGTCGTTAAACAAGCACGAGGCCAAGACGTGGGCGTTAAACCTTTCCTGCAAGGTAGAGGATGTTCTCTTTGACTGCATCCGTCAAGTCCCCTTGTCCCGTGTAGACATAGGTGACTGTTTGGGACCACACTTCGGGATACGGTAATGGCAACTCGACAACGTCGCCAGCCTGGACTGTACCAGAGACGATGATAGCCGCCAACACCGGGAGTGAGGACCTGGCGTATTGGAGATCTGTGGGTGGGTTGGGTGTTAGCCTTGATTTCCCTGCCTTGTATTCGGGTAGGAGTGAGCCGGCCTTGGAGGCTATTGCCGAAAAGGTTCAAGTCCGCAAACGTCAGAGGGGGTAAACTTAGGCAAGACATGACTTACGGATTGGTATAGTGTCGGCGCCACGCGATGAAGCCGCGCGGGGATCTCCAGATTTTAGCCCGCGGCTGTAAGGGAGCGTGCTGTGAATTGCACTGCTCGACCGTCTTCGTGCCGCGCTCGGTCGAGGAGATGAGACCTTTGGCAGCGGTGAAGTGGCCTGAGTATGCAGAGATGGCCGCCGTCTTTGATCCGCGGGAATAGGGCTTGGCAACGGGTCCGCGATGGTGGAGCGTAACTGCTCAATGTCGAAAGTGTGAGTAATGAGCATCGGTTTGCGTTCCAGAGCTCGAGGACGAACTCGAAACTTCATTTGACGCTGGTGAGGTGGGAGAGTCGGCGTGGACGGCATTCGTGGGGGCGAAGAACCTCCAGCAGATTGATCCGAGTTGGTGCTCGCATTGGAGCTTCGACGATTAAGAGACATAGCTTGCACGAAGACGTCGGAGGTTTTGGCATCACCAAGATACACATGACCCCATGCTCGTAGCTGCTCAAGTTGAACGCGCTTCTCAGCCTCCCTGGACCTGGCGACGTATCCGGGTCCTGCTACAGACTGTCGTCGTTGTGCCTCTTCGCCCAGACCGGCGAGAAGCATCGATCGAGTTTCCGCTGCGAGAGTCTGCCTTCGAACACTGCTAGCCATAGGTGGTGAGACCGGAGTTGCTGATGGCGGCGGACCTGGCCGGCGAGGGCTTATAGGCGCAGCCGAATAACGTCTACCGTCACTTGCTGAGTGCTCTGCGAGAGGAGAAAGCGGACTCGGCCGGTTTGCTGACTTGGGCGGGCTAAGGTCACCGGAGCCTGGAGCTTGTCGGAGTCTGGAGCCGAGGCGGTCGACCATGGCGCGCTCATGCTGTCTCATTGAGCCATCGTTGGAAGGAAATACCGGAGTGGGCAGGCTTTTGGGTGAACGATCGGATGGGCTGTAATACGAGCTAGGAGCAGTAGGTCTGCTTGAAGTCGAGGAACGAGGGAATCCTCCTTGGTTATATGAAGGTGTCCATAGTGGGTGAAGGCTTGCCCGAGGGTGGCTCTCGATTGGGGTAGCCATGGCGATGTATGATAGTGATAGAGGTGAATGCCTTGTAAGATATATCAAGTGGTGAGTGAAGAAGGAAGTGTTCAAGTCAGGGTTTCGAGTAACAATGAATGGGCCCAAAGATCGGGATGTGCAACCAAGATGATGGGATGGCGGTGATGAGAGTCAAGAGTATGCAGCCCTGTAGGGATTTGATCAAGGGAGAAGAGCTTCTCTTATGTCTGTGGTGGATGGAGGGACGAAGAGGGTTAATTAATATCTTTGCGGAAGACCTTGTGAGCCACCTCAGTCTGTAAGTCTTGAACTTCTCGCCCACCAGTTTCTTTAGGAGCCAGAAGAGAGAAAGGGCACTTGCAGCAACTGCCGGGATCAGAAAATGAAAGGACTGGTAGGTACGGTAGGTCTCTGTCTCTCTCAAAGAAGACGAGAAAGACAGGCAAGGTGCAAAGAAGAACAGACTGACAGACTGTCACTGACAGAGAAAGGGTGTGCAAAGAAGGCGGCTGCAATCTTTGCTTTGGGCCCGGCAAGCCTAGGTGGGAGTGTAATGAGGAATGCGGTCGTAAAGCATGGAGTGACAATGAGCGGTTGCGGCCAACAGCCATGCCCATGTCACTCATTGCATATGAGAACAAAGGAGATGAGCTAGCAGGCGTGTGGGTTGGGTTGTCGGAAGCAAACCCATGGGACATGGCAGGCTTGAAGTTGAACGTCTGCAGATGGACACAGAGGAGAACAAAGGAATGTGGCTTGTCTGGGCCTTGATTCGTCATGTTTCTGGCGATACTATTGGCCCACTATGCATCTTCCTTCCCTGCCACCTTGAGGCCTGGGGGTGTACTGCGTAGGTTGTTGGCTTCGACGCATAGAAGCAGTCCCTATTGCTCTGCCCGCCTCTCATTCTCTCTTGGTAGACAGCCAGATCCAGGACTTTCGGTCCGGGGGTTGATACTTGGTGGCAGCCAGAGCAGCAGCAAGAAGACTGCAACCAACCAACACTTGAAAGCTGGAGGGGGGTGCGGTGACTGGGTTGAGACTTGCCCTTGCGTTTCCACTTCCACTCGCACTCGCACCAGTCGAACTTGGCGTAGCTGCATCTGTCCATGTAGCTGTAAATGCTGTAAATAAGTTTCAAGACTACCGACACGGATGTGTAAGTTGTGAGGCTATAGTACTGTCTTCAGACCAAAGGGTACCCATCTTTTGCATGTAAAGCTGGGCTTGGGATGAATGCCGCAGTGAGGCCGGGGGCGAAACTGCAAAAGTGTGGAGTTGGAACATCAACGGCGTCGATATGTCTTGGAAGTTTGGCACAGCGGGAGATGGTTGCGGCCGTGATGGCGAAAAGTGGGAAACGGTGGGACAAGACGATGACAGCCAGCAATTGGGATCTCAGATCTCGATTTGTGATGGGTTGGAAAGACTGGAAAGGTGGAGGGGGGAGGCGAAGAATGGAGCTGACAAACGGATGAAGAGGTGCCAGTCTGGCAAAGACAAGAGATTCGGGTGTTTGGTTGGTTGATTTGCGCGGATGGATGGGATGGATGGATGGATGCGTGGAATGCGTCGTGTGCGTGGGAGACATGGAGGGATGAGACAACAACAGGATGATCAGCAACAACAACAACAAAAACGACAACGACGATAGAAATCATGAAAGGAAAGCTTAGAAAGATGCCTCGGAGGAAGCTCCTGGAATGCCCATGTTTGTGACGTGTCTGCCTTCGGTTGAGCTGTGCCTTTCCAAAGCTTGCCCCGTCCCCCCGAACTTTCCTTTGACAGCGGAAGGCACGGAGACAACAGGGGGATTTCTGCGTCAGGTATGCCGTAAGCCCCTTCCTTCCTCTCCGTGCCTCCGAAGCCATCGGACCAGGACCCACACGGTGCTACGGAAGGAGCTGTTCATTGGCTCTGCCCGTCTCCTCGCAATTCTTACATAATCAGTCAGGCAATACAGGTACGTATCTCGTCTGGGACACTTGAGGTAGACAATAGAAGGAGCTTGGACCACCTACACCAAGCTCCCGCTGCTCCTTCTGGCCAGAGTTCGTCTCGTCTTTTTTCCCGGTGGTGGAGAGAACAGAGAAAGAACGTCGAGGAAAGGTTGACGTTGCAATTACCGGTAAAAACCACATCGCCGAAAGAGCAACAACGAACAGCTTGTTCTTTTCGCTGAACCGGGTAAAAGCAATGCTTGCTGTCGTCAAAACCATTCCCTTCTCTCTGGACATGCATTGAACATTTCCCACACTCCTTGTTTCTCCCAGAAACTAAAGAAACCAAACTCTCTTTCGACCCATCGCAAACATGTCCGACGCTACGGCCGCGAGCTACAAGAAGCTCAAGGAAGACTTTGTCTCCAATCTCTCTGGTGGCTCCGCCTCCGAAGTCAACTATGTGACTGCAGTTGCTCCCGTGCGTAACTATCTTCTTTGAACAGAAACTCTGACCTGCCCTCCTGATCTCCTGATCCCCCTGTTGCTGCTGCTGCTGCCCCCCTTCACGTCCCAGGCGCCCCCGCGCAGCGCATGCATCGAGACAAAGCAAAGTGCTGACATTCGCATTCCTTTCCAGGTCGCCGTCCTGCTGTGGTCTGTACTCCAATCACGCCAATCCTTCTTCAAACCCTACACGCTATTGGGAGCTGCCGCCGATTTCCTCCTCAACGTCACCGCCATCCTCCTCTCCACGACTCTCTACGCCTCCTCCCCCTTGCTACTTTGCGCCCTCCTCCTCGGTCCCGCCGTATTCATCTACACTCTGCCTCCCAACTTCGGCGCCAGTCGCAAGAAGCCCGCCATACCACCCAATGCGAAGCCCAAGGCCGGCTCCGGCGCGGGGCCGCTCTCCGCACTGCCCGTGAAGCCTTTCCTGACACACTACCGGGGTAGCATGCTGGTCATCACTTGCATCGCCATCCTCGCCGTCGACTTCCGCCTCTTTCCGCGCCGCTTCGCCAAGGTCGAGACATGGGGAACATCACTGATGGACATGGGCGTCGGGTCCTTCGTCTTCAGCGCCGGTGTTGTCGCTGCTCGGCCCGTCTTGAAAGAGCGCGCCGAAGGTCGATCGATACCCCTGACGACACGTCTGCTGCAGTCGATGCGCCACTCCTTACCGCTACTCGTCCTGGGCGTCATCCGCTTGCTCAGCGTCAAGGGTCTCGACTACGCCGAACATGTCACCGAGTATGGCGTTCACTGGAACTTCTTCTTCACCCTGGGTTTCCTGCCGCCGTTTGTTGCCCTCTTCCAGTCCGCGCTCAAGGTTGTGCCTAGTTACGCCGCTCTGGCAATCATCCTGAGTGTGCTGTATCAGGTGGCTCTGGAGAGCACCGACCTCAAGGCTTACATCCTGACCGCACCGAGAACCGACCTATTCTCAAAGAACCGAGAGGGGATCTTCAGCTTCTTCGGCTACCTGGCTATCTTCCTTGCGGGACAAGATACGGGAATGTACGTCTTGCCTCGGAGTCTCAACACCAAAAGCGATTCCACCCCCGCTACTCAGCGCAAGACTCTTCTCATGATGATGGCCATTTGGTCTGCTCTGTGGACAGGGCTTTACTTTTTGACCACCAGCAACAGCTACGGCGACGGTCTGAACGTTTCACGTCGCCTCGCGAACCTGCCCTATGTCCTATGGACAGCGGCGTTCAACTCGACACAACTTCTAGCCTATGCCCTAGTGGACACTTTCTGCTTCCCGTCTTTCTACAATGCGACTGACGCGAAGACCGAGAAGGAGGCGTACCATACAGCGACCAGTAGGGTATTCCGGGCCTACAATCGCAACGGCCTATTCTTGTTCCTCATCGCAAACGTCTTGACGGGACTGGTCAACATGACGGTGCCGACACTGAATGTTGGACCCATGGCAACGATGGGCATCTTGGTTGCGTACAGTGGAGCAATCACGGCAATTGCTCTCGGACTGGACGAATACAATATCTCCATCAAACTATAGATGATGTCGAAATAAAAATTTGAGTTACACGACTACAAACATCTCACCCACCATGTGATACTGGCTCAGAAAGCCGGCTAGACGATGTCTCATCGAGGCACTACATCAACGCCTGTTCGGATCCGGCAGGTTGTTCGAGGATGGCCAAGCCGCGAGGCATCCGATAAACTTCCATGGAGATAGGCGGTCGCTGCTGACAAGAGACTTAGAAGCCCGACAAACCCGGAGGATACGGGCTATGAAGACGGAGCCACCGGAAAACCGCAGACAGTCAGCTGAGTGATTACAGTCTGACATCAAAGAATTTCCCAAATGGACCTCTCCCCCGAGGCTGTTGGATTGGACAAATCATGCTGCATTCCGGTGGTACGACAGCAAAAATCTCACTGCTAGCAAGAAAAGAGAAAGCCATCACCGCGGCGTGGACAAAGCTTCAAAGTTCTCGCAGCTTGGCAGCTGCAGTCTGGACAAAGCTCTTTTTTTTTTTTTTTTTTTTTTTTTTTTTTTTTGTAGACCCCCGGTTTGGGTGTTTTTGTTTTTTTTTTTTTTTTTTGTTTTTTGGGTTTTCACGGGGGTTTTTTTTTTTTTTTTTTTTTTTTTTTTTTTTTTTTCCTTCTTTCTTTTTTTTTTTTTTTTTTTTTTTTTTTTTTTGGCAAGACCCTCGGTTGGGCGTGACTTTGGTATTGCTCTTCGAATGAGTTGACCAGGCATGCGGATCCGTTGCATTGACGGGTTTGTCCCTCGATCCACACCGCCGGGGTTTTCTTTGGAAATCTTCTAGAATACTCGGTGAGCTCAGACTGAAAGCACTGGGACGAGAACAAGGCTGGCTATGGGCAAGGCGAGGCGAGAGGCAAACAGGAAAATTCCAACAACAACAAAATGGTTACCAAAAACTTGGTCCAGGTCACCGGCTGGTTGGTTCGAGATCGTCGGGAACCCCGTTTGGGCGCAATTCCGCATACCGACCAACACTACTTTCGCATAGTCGAACGCGTGGACTTTTCTCTCTCCTTCTCTCTCGGATGTGGGTTACTTCCCGTTTCCCCCTTCTGCCGAGTGATTACCTACGGACCCTACGGATACGTACGCTGGTGCGGCCCTGCGGAACACACATTTGGGTCGGCACACGAAAGATCCCTGGGCAGGAATCCGATGTCCGGATACGGGTGGTTCGTCAACGTGTTTGCTCGAACCAGCCGGGGTCGTCCCTGTTGGCCTTTGGGGGGAGATCATGGATTGGGCCGCATGGCCCAAGTTGAAGTTGGGTAATGGGTTATTTGAAGATGGGGTTTGGGACTGGGACGGAGTTCTGTGAGATTAAATAAGACGCGTCGCGCCTTTTTCGCGAATTTCCCGAGCCTTTGATGAGTGGGCTCGTCTACTGTTTGTTCGTGGAGTCGTCGCTGGTGGTCGTCCATCATGTGGTCCCTCATCATCGTCTTCGTTGTTCACTGCCCAAAGGGTCTTATCCTTCGCTGTCGATGAATTTGGTTTGACGACAGTTTTGGTGATTGTATTCGGTATAGAAGGGAGGCTACGTTCGCCTGGTATTTGACTGAAATAGCGGACGATAGTCCGCGAAAACCCCAATATGATGTCACTGGACAACATATCCACCGTGGTATTAATGGCCCAAGTGCCGAGTCTGGCTGGGCTGTCCCGGACTGATCTTCTTGATGGGGCAGCTCGCTTGCTCCAGAACCGGGGGAGACGAATGACAATTTGGCTTAATTGACTGATGTATGATCATGGGGTGACCATTCGGAAAGACCTGACCGAGAGGGTCTTTGGGCAGTCAAACTTCTCGAAAGACAGAAGTTGGCCGACATTTGACAAGCCCCTCCTCATCAGCACGTGCATTTTTTCAGGATGCGAAAGTGCTCTTGGGGACGCAAATCTTAAAGGTGCCAAGTGACATGACTTGCGGCAAGCCCTGAATCCACTAAATTGGCAAATCGAGCCGGGGCATTTTGAGCTGGCTAACAAGTAGAGATTCAGAAGTTCAGCCTGCTCATGACGGACAGGTTGTATTTGGGCTGACGCAGGCAGACCCCGGTCAAACGCCGTGCGCCTCATCTCCGATGTTAATGCTGGCTAGATGGTGGACGCGACCTTGGTCGTCTTTGCAAGTTGGTTTTGAGCAGACAAACCATTGGCGCCTTCATAAGGACATAGCAAACGGTATTCGCCTTGAAAATCAGTACTGCCCTTACTCAGAGAACTTGGTCATTGCAAATCGGCTCAGTCAGCTCTGTATTGGGCTTGATAAGCTGAGCAAACGGCTGGGCTTTGTCCAGTGTGGTGCATCGCAACCAATCAGCGAAATATCAGAATGCTTTGGTTCGCATACAACACCAATCTGCCGCGGGTAGGTGTAAGGTTAAGCTCCAAAGTGAATATGCGTATGGAGGAGATCTCCAATGGCAAAGACAAGTGAATAGTCTGAAGTGGAATGGAGCCTACTTCGTTTGGGGCCTGCGAAATGGAATTCTCTCCACGAGGATGGAACGCCTGTATACAAGTAGATAGAAGGTGTGCGGTGATTGATTACAATGAGACAGGCGAATCAAGATGGAGTGAATTGATGACAAGGGTGAGTAAGCTGGAGAGTGAAGCGTGAAGACCCAGAAGCTTGGTGGAATAAGGTAGATTCGAATACGTGCGTACCTTGCATTGACGATGGCTGAGGATAGCCGCCGAGTGAGCCAGTCAAGTATTAAGATGAAGGTAACTTCGTTAAGGCAAGGGATGCTGCGTGATATTCGGGTAACCTCGTGGGTGAATGAACCTCGACTCGCCCTTGAGCCATGCGCCATCAGATCCAACCGCTTGGTGCGCATAAATATTGGAGATTCAGTAAAATGCGAAGGCGATGGCGACGACGACATTAAGATGGATGTGTGGGGAGGCGAGCACTGCCAAATGACATGCGATGCGCAAACGCGCGATCCGTCGTTTGAGGAGCGAGGGGAACTCGACAGTCCGGTCTCGCAGACACTGCCCGCCAGCCAGTCAGGTTCTGGACGGTAATTTGAGAAATGCAGCCTGCCACGTCAATGCAAGGGACCTCGCTGCGGTCTCAAGCGCGTAAACTAGCAGCCATCTGCAATTAATTATGCCGCAGCTCACAGGACGATCCTGTCCGTCTGAGTATTTGTATAGAGCCGCGTTTGCACCAAAATGCACGAGGCAGAAGAACGTGGTACAGTTGACTGACTGGAGATACAAGTTACCGGTACAGCTCCTGGTCAACAATGGACACGGAGGATGGGACGGAATCGGACGAAATCCAAATCGTTGCGGGAGGATCAGGACAGTCGACCGGTTTGGGCAGTGGTGCGGCAGCAGCTGGTCCTGGTGATGATGACAAGTCAGAACGACATGACCCCTGGACCATGTCGATACCCCGGTCTTTATCACCTGGATGCCCAGCCCACCAGCAGGGGTAAGAGGTGTTTCGTTTGACGGTGGCCGACTAAACGCAAAGGTAAATCGTGATGCGACTCTGTAGCTTCTGTAGTTTACTGCTGCATAAGGAAAGGGCATCTGCCCTCAATGCGGTTCGGTCGTAGAGGCTTCGAGATATTGACGATTAATTGGTGCTGGGCATGAATCGTGGGAAAAGTTGCATCTGCGTGCCACTGCGGGCGACGCCAACCACGCTCGGCACCATGCATCGCATCTCGCCCCGCAGGCGATGACTTGTGGAAGGCGTCGAGATTGGAACTGACCGCCAGTAGCCAACTTGCTTTCGGACGGCGAACTGCTGTCTGACACCATGTTGACCTTTCCAAATTAGGCGCACGCTCAGTCATTTGGTTGGAGAGAATGAGAGAGATGAAGAGAGAGAAAAAAGAGACGTGAGCTTACAGCGGGCAGATATTCGTAGATGGGGTGCATGATCCTCGGTAACCCTTGTCGAGGGGTCATCCCATCTCCAAAAACGAAGCACATGGGGTTGGGCATGAAGCTGGAGTGTTGCTAAGTTGCCGGAGCGTGCGAAGCGGGAACCTTCAGTCTTCTCGAACGAAGTGGGTCACGAATTGGAGGCTCGATGCCAGCTTGATCTATTCGTACGAACCCAATGGGCCAATTAGTCTGTTGCATCGAGAGCCCGTCAGCTGCCGTTGTGCTCATGCTGACTAGATTCCTTGGAAAACAGCGTCTGAGTTGTCGAGGAGAGAGCTCGAGCTTCAGGTGAAGTCGGGTTCGGGTGTCACGTCAATCGTCAGGCCGAGGGCAGATCCCAGCGTGCTTGAGAAGCTAGAGCAGCTAAAGCGGCTGGTAGAGATTTGCATCCTTGAGACAGCAGAACATAGTAGGATCCGGTAGAAGGTGAGTTGCAGAGATGATGTTTGGAAGAAATCATCCACTTCATGTTCCATGTGACAAGGTAAGGCAGTAAGGTATGTCAGGCAAGGAAGGAACTTGGAACCTCCTTCTATTGAGTGAAGTGGGCAGGTACCGGTTTGGCTGAGAAGTGGAGTGGGAGGGAAGGAGCAGACAGGAAGAATTGATAGACGAGGCAGGTTCGACATGCTGCATCACTCCTTCCTTCTCCGCCGCCACCCGTCTCCGTCTCCTCCGTACCTTACGGTACCTTACCGGAGGTGCTTTGCCTACCTGCTCCCATTCTTCCTTTCCTCTTCCCATCCGAGTATCGCTCATCATTCACGTATTTTCTGAACAATAATTGAGTGTACGGAGTAGGTATGTATGTGCGTGTCATTTGCATTGGGCCTCAAAGCTGGTTGATATCGAATTCCAGCCACTCCCTTCCACATTCACATGTACGAGGAAGTGGGACACCAATCAACAGCTGCAAAATTTCAGAAACGGCGCCAGCGCCGGTGCAAGTTCTCAGCACCACCATCCGCACTAGCCACACCCACAACCACGTTTCGGCTCTTGTGCAACGCCTTCCTGCTCCCGCGCCTTGAGTCTTGAGGTACACAAAGGTTCAAAGCCTCCTCTTGACTTACACAGGCTTCTGCACTGCTCTGGGCTGAGACGTTAAGTCAGACACGCCAATTCGAAGCATACTTACCCGTCTGCGACAAGTTGTCAGACTGGGTGGAAGATGATTTATCGTTCGACTACGGAGTACAACTATTTCACTAGGCAGTAGGTACTAGACACTAGACGCTAGACGTAGACAGTTGTGGTCTCGACTCTCCCATCTGAGCCCCGCACGTCAACTTCATCTTGATACCTACCTACCTTGAATACGAAAGGGGACATCAGTCCATTCCGGCGCCGCTGCATTGAGGTGATTATTGGGGACGAATGCCTACCTTGACCCTCGGGACAGCTGCCGACTGCCAGCAGAACAGGCCGAGAAAGGTCACGGAAGTTGGAACCAAGGAAAAGACCAACCAAGGGAGAAAAGAAACGACAAATTGCCCACTGGCCACAATCCGCGCCGGCCCTCTGGAAAATTGGTGGTGCTTGGACAGCCGTAAGTGAGATAATTTAACGAGACGGCATCTCCTCGCTCTTTTCTTGCTACAATCAATACGGCCCAGCCAAGGTGGTCACGGTCATCCACTCAGTTGAGGCGGAAACAGTGCTGCGTTTCTTCTCTCTCTCTCGGTTCGGCTCAATTCAACTCGACGGAATCCTACCTCAAGGTACCTCACCTTCCCTTGGCCTCGATCTCACCTCACATCTAGCCGGCGAGGACGACTCTACCTACCTTAGGTACCTATCAGCCAAGGTACCTCGCAGCACGCAGTATCTTACTCTGGCACCTGCGCCTCTCCTACCACGTCCATTACTTGCAGTGTGCAGCGCAAGGAGTGTCATAGACGAAGCACTCAAGTACGAAAGCACGAAGCAGGAAGCAATCAGTCGCGGTTGCATGTCGCAGTCGCAGTCGCAGTAGTGGCAGCGTTAGCGGATATTAGCGAGTATCTGGTACCTGCATTCCGTCCCTAGTTGCATGTACCGCACCTGCTCCCTTTTTCCCGCTTTTCTCCCCTGAGGCCCACGCACATCTCCGCCTTCACTTTCCCTGGGCGATACTTACAAGTTGCATTGCACCTCACCCCTGCAAGTACACGATACCCCCGGGGGCCTACCTTGGTACGGAGTACGTAGTAAGGTATTCGACCAGGGAATCTCTCAATCGCGCGCTTTCTCTGTCTGCCTTTCTCGCGCCCGCCGCCCGCTCACTCACACCCACTCTCTTGACGTCTCTCCTCTCTTTTCGAGACTGACTGACTGACTGACCAGAGACCTGGGGCTTGTCTGTTCCAATTCTTGTGCTTCCGTTCCTCATTGCGCGCGCTGTTCCAAATATCGGGCGCACTCAGTCTCCAACCTTGGACCGGCTCCATCCAGCTCGTCCTAAGTCTCATCTCTTCAATTTCATTCTGACGAGCACGAAGACGTCTGACCGTCCGTTCCTCCTAACTATCTCTCTCTTCCTCTCTTTCTCTCCCTCGCCAAAAAAAAGAAGGAAAAAAAAAAAGGAGCCAAGACGAGGCCCATTCCCAATCCCGCCTGTCTCTCTTCTCTCATTCTGGACTGGTTCGCCCTCAATCGCCCTCCACATCTCGACTTCCACCGCCTCTCGCTCCCAAAGTCCAACTTGGGCTCTCACCGCGCATTACCTCATCCCACTTGTACCTGGATTCGCTGCGCCAACGTCTCCGTTTGGTCTGCGTTGGCCGTGTCTGGTGTTATTTTTCTGACCGGCGATCCAACTCGCTCCGATAGTCTGCCTCTAGTTTCGAGCCCGCCGAGGTAGAGAAGCGCGCCATCGACAACTTCAACCGTCGACAAAAAGCCTACAATCAGACTCGGGCCTCCCGCACTCATTATCGTCATACTCTTCTCCATCTGCTGGCGATAGCTCCCTCTGATCGTTCCAAGCCAGACCAGATAAGACTTGAGTGGTTCGGTAAAAGGCAATTGGTTCCAATCAAAACATACTGGTTTCCGACCGCCATACTGCATCCAGCCTGCCTCTTGACCCTCGACTAGGGTCACCTCACCGACACGACTGACTGGAACTGTTTTCCTACCGCTCATTCTTCCTCCTGTCTGCACCCCCGTCTGGTCTCAGACGGTGTCAAAGGACAAAGGTTCAAAGCCATAGGTATCAATCCGTCGCACAGCCTTTCACCACAGCAGAGTGTGTACGTGCACCACTGCCCCTTTGTCGCGTCACTGTTCCCAGTGTTGTTGCTGCATTGACTCGACTCGACTTTACCGCCCCAAAACGATCGTCGCCGACACATTTCGTCAGGGTCGAGCTACAGTAAACAACAAATCGCAACCATCAGCCAAGGGGGAAGAAAACAATTGACCCCTTCCGCCCACACCATGAGATAGACTGGTCCAATTCATTGGTACACCAGACACTCACAACACGGCCTATCCAAGGACCCTAATACCTCCAATCGGGCTTGTCCGTCCCATACCAATTCAGGGCGAATTAATTCCTGCAGCTCAATAATTCCAGCGTCCTGAAACCTGGTGCCCAGCGAGCAACTTTACCTCACTGAACAGCATTCGCTTACGGACCTCTTTCTCGCTTCTCAATTCTCCGCCAACATACCAGCCTCCCTTGACCCCCTTCCAAAACGCACCAACATCGCAGACCGACATCTTAGCGACAATCGCGGGACCAAAACACGCCAGACTAGGACCGCCGCCCAGTCGAACTCTATTTCCTTGCGCGCTTGCGTTTCCACTGTCGCAAAAGCATATCCTCGGCCGCTTTGCAGCCTGCCCATCACACAACAGCTTTGGCATCACCGCCTTTGGTCGCAGCCTCACCGAGCAGCCGGCAGTACACGTCGAACCACTCTTCCCCATCTCGCGAGGCGTACAATGCTAATTTGCAACACAACTTTGCCTCTCTTGCATCGTCACAACGCCCTCCGAGCCGACCGAGCGGAACCGGCGCGTCTGTAAACACTCAGGACCCAACTTCGCTCATGACGTCCCGAGTTGTCCCCGCCAGCCCCGTCGCCGTCGCGCCCTCTTCCCCAGACTACCAATCCTCATCCTCCGAACAACGAAGAAACATGCCCCCAGTCGCCCCCCCTCGAACGTCCTCGACGAATTATTCGGGCGCTACTACCACTACGACCACCACGAAAAGACGCGATCACGCTGCCGAGAAGGCGGCATCGTCACCGCGACGCGGTCAAGCAGACGGAACGAATGGTAATGTCGATTATACCTACTCGGATGACGGTTCTGCTTCACGCAGCAGAAGATCGCATCAACAAATGCCTCCTGATTCTCCCCATCGATCCAGCGGCAACCGACCTGGGAGTCAGCCGACGGTGATTCCCGTACGATCACATGCACCTCAGACAACAGCATCACCAAAGCAGCCCACGCGCGAAGCAAGCGAGGTTCTCAATCGAATGGTAGTCTCCCAGCCCGAAGTAGACATCGCTCGCGAGAAGGAACGACTAGCAGAAGCTCAGTC